TATGGCCAGAGGATTGGACACACTCTGGTACTTTATGGCTATTTGAACAGAGGATTGGGCACACTCTGGTACTTTATGGGTAAATGGCTGGAGGATTGGGCACACTCTGGTACTTTATGGGTATATGGCCAGAGGATTGGGCACACTCTGGTACTTTATGGCTATATGGCTGGAGGATTGGGCAAACTCTGGTACTTTATGGCTATATGGCTGGAGGATTGGGCACACTCTGGCGCTTTATGGCTATATGGCTGGAGGATTGGGCACACTCTGCTACTTTATGGCTATATGGCTGGAGGATTTCAACTCTCAAAAGTAAAGGCAAATAAGTCAATGGGACTTGATGGAATACACCCAAAGTTATTTTGCTGGAAATGTTACTTCTCTCTTTGTTACAGGGGACTCTGTTTTAATAATTAAGTGTGCCTAAATCAGTCGCAGGATTTTTCAGATCCCCACTCTGGTCAGTTCCAAGAAGCACCCCTGGAACACGATGTTTTAAATTCATTGGGGCAATGAGTATATTAAAGGAACCCCCCAAGTACCATGCCCACTACAGCTATTTATGCAACAATAGCTGAATTTCCAGGTCTGCTACAGTCACAGTTTGTCTCAACTGCCTGGTCTCTGTGTTGTAGTATTGTTAGTTATAGGTTACATAGTTACATGGGCTGAAAAGAGACGTGTCCATCAAGTTCAGCCTTTCTCAAATCTATTTTGCTGTTGATCCAAAAGAAGGCAAAAACCACAGTTTAACACGCTTCCAATTTTGTAACAAACTAGAGAGTTCATTCTTTACCCGAGAATGACAGAGCTCTCCTTTGATCAAGAAGCTATTGCCCCACAAATTACAAATGATATCCCTCTGACCCTTACTTTAAATGAGAAGAAAGGATTGGGTATTCCTTAGCTTTTAGTTTAAATGGAATCAGAATCCAGGGGATGCTCTGACTTTTAGTTTAAATGAGGCTAGAGGATTGTGCACACTCTGGTACTTTATGGATATATGGCCGAAGGATTAGGCACACTCTGGTACTTTATGGCTACATGGTCAGAGGATTCAGCATACTCTGGTACTTTAAGGCTATATAGCCAGAGGACCGGGCACACTCTGGTACTTTATGGCTTAATGGCCAGAGGATAGGGCACACTCTGGTACTTTATGGCTATATGATCAGAGGAATGGGCACACTCTGGTACTTTATGGCTTTATGGCTAGAGGATAGGGCACACTCTGGTACTTTATGTCTATATGGGTTAGAGGACCGGGCACACTCTGGTACTTTATGTCTATATGGCCAGAGGATTGGGAACACTCTGGTACTTTATGGCTATATGGCCGGAGGATTGGGCACACTCTGGTACTTTATGGGTATATGGCTGGAGGATTGGGCACACTCTGGTACTTTATGGCTATATGGCCGGAGGATTGGGCACACTCTGGTACTTTATGGGTATATGGCTGGAGGATTGGGCACACTCTGGTACTTTATGGCTATATGGCCGGAGGATTGGGCACACTCTGGTACTTTATGGGTATATGGCCAGAGGATTGAGCACACTCTGGTACTTTATGGCTATATGGCTGGAGGATTGGGCACACTCTGGTACTTTATGGGTATATGGCCAGAGGATTGGGCACACTCTGGTACTTTATGGCTATATGGCTGGAGGATTGGGCACACTCTGGTACTTTATGGCTATATGGCCGGAGGATTGGGCACACTCTGGTACTTTATGGGTATATGGCCGGAGGATTGGGCACACTCTGGTACTTTATGGCTATATGGCTGGAGGATTGGGCACACCCCTGGCACTTTTATGGCTATATGGGCCTATATCAAGCACACTCTGGTACTCCTTATGGTATAAGGGCCAGAGGATTGGGCACACTCTGGTACTTTATGGCTATATGGCCGGAGGATTACACTTGGTACTCTTTATGGGTATATGGGCTGAGGACGGGGTTAATTCTGGTACTTTATGGCTATAAGGGTCAGAGGATTGGGCACACTCTGGTAATTTCTATGGTATATGGTCAGAGGATTGGGCACACCTGGTACCTTTATGGTCATATGGCTGGAGCATCAGCACACTCTGGTACTTTATGGCTATATGGCCGGAGGATTGGGCACACTCTGGTACTTTATGGGTATATGGCCAGAGGATTGGGCACACTCTGGTACTTTATGGATATATGGCCAGAGGATTGGGCACACTCTGGTACTTTATGGATATATGGCCAGAGGATTGTGCACACTCTGGTACTTTATGGATATATGGCCGAAGGATTAGGCACACTCTGGTACTTTATGGCTACATGGTCAGAGGATTCAGCACACTCTGGTACTTTTTATGGGTATATGGTCGGAGGGATGGCCACACCCCAAGTACTCTTTATGGCTGGCATGGGTCGGAGGATTGGGCACACTTGGTACTTTATGGGTATATGGCTGGAGGATTGGGCACTACCTTGTACTTTATGGCTATAAGGGTCGAGGGATTGGGGCACTCTGGTACTTATGGGCAGTGCTGCAGGATTGAGCACACTGGTACTTTTATGGCCATATGGCTGAGGATTAAACACTCATACTTATGGGTATATACAGAGGACAAGTGCACTCTGGTACTTTATGGCTATATGGCTGGAGGATTGGGCACACTCTGGTACTTTATGGCTATATGGCCGGAGGATTGGGCACACTCTGGTACTTTATGGGTATATGGCCGGAGGATTGGGCACACTCTGGTACTTTATGGCTATATGGCTGGAGGATTGGGCACACTCTGGTACTTTATGGCTATATGGCTGGAGGATTGGGCACACTCTGGTACTTTATGGGTATATGGCCAGAGGATTGGGCACACTCTGGTACTTTATGGCTATATGGCCGGAGGATTGGGCACACTCTGGTACTTTATGGGTATATGGCCAGAGGATTGGGCACACTCTGGTACTTTATGGCTATATGGCCGGAGGATTGGGCACACTCTGGTACTTTATGGGTATATGGCCAGAGGATTGGGCACACTCTGGTACTTTATGGCTATATGGCTGGAGGATTGGGCACACTCTGGTACTTTATGGCTATATGGCTGGAGGATTGGGCACACTCTGGTACTTTATGGGTATATGGCCAGAGGATTGGGCACACTCTGGTACTTTATGGCTATATGGCCGGAGGATTGGGCACACTCTGGTACTTTATGGGTATATGGCCAGAGGATTGGGCACACTCTGGTACTTTATGGATATATGGCCAGAGGATTGGGCACACTCTGGTACTTTATGGATATATGGCCAGAGGATTGGGCACACTCTGGTACTTTATGGATATATGGCCAGAGGATTGGGCACACTCTGGTACTTTATGGCTATATGGCTGGAGATTTGGGCACACTCTGGTACTTTATGGCTATATGGCCGGAGGATTGGGCACACTCTGGTACTTTATGGCTATATGGCTGGAGGATTGGGCACACTCTGGTACTTTATGGCTATATGACTGGAGGATTTCAACTGTCAAAAGTAAAGACAAATAAGTCAATGGGACTTGATGGAATAAACCCAAAGTTATTTTGCTGGAAGTGTTACTTCTCTCTTTGTTACAGGGGACTCTGTTTTAATAATTAAGTGTGCCTAAATCAGTCCCAGGATTTTTCAGATCCCCACTCAGGTCAGTTCCAAGAAGCACCCCTGGAACACGATGTTTTAAATTCATTGGGGCAATGAGTATATTAAAGGAACCCCCCAAGTACCATGCCCACTACAGCTATTTATGCAACAATAGCTGAATTTCCAGGTCTGCTACAGTCACAGTTTGTCTCAACTGCCTGGTCTCTGTGTTGTAGTATTGTTAGTTATAAGTTACATAGTTACATGGGCTGAAAAGAGACGTGTCCATCAAGTTCAGCCTTTCTCAAATCTATTTTGCTGTTGATCCAAAAGAAGGCAAAAACCACAGTTTAACACGCTTCCAATTTTGTAACAAACTAGAGAGAAGTTAATTCTTTACCCGAGAATGACAGAGCTCTCCTTTGATCAAGAAGCTATTGCCCCACAAATTACAAATGATATCCCTGAATGATAGTGCTGGGGATTGCATGGGTGGCCGGCTAGCTTGTTGATTGGTAATATGAGTTTCCGTATATTCATATTCATTTATTAGAGCACAACTTGTTGAAATTTGGCGTCAGAGTAAAGTTAGTTTGTAAATAAGATTTAGTAAATATTTCCAGTCAGTGTGAACTTTCTCCATAGGAAACCATAGAAATTGTAATGCCATTTTCTATATCCAGAGTGTTGCTGCAGTTTCATGTGGCCTTTAAAATTATTTTTTTTGGCATAGATACTTTGCCTACGTAGACCAGACACATGACCTCACGAGATGAGCAGTGCCAAACAAATTAACGTTATTAGTGATGCTGACAATTACACACATTACCTGGAGTGTGAAGTGTGGCTTCCCTCTCAGTGCCAACCAATCACAGTGCTCTGACACAATTCAAAATGGCAGGGGCATATATAAAGACCTCAGCATGAATTCAGCAGATGGGTATGAAATATTTATATCATAACAGGTTTTAGACACTGCGCTCCTAGTCAGTTTCTAAGGATTGCGCACCTCTAGTTCTTTATTTAAATAGGGCTTTAAGTTTGAGGACCCTCTGGCTCTCAGTTTAAATGGAGACCCTCTGACCCTTACTTTAAATGAGAAGAAAGGATTGGGTATTCCTTAGCTTTTAGTTTAAATGGAATCAGAATCCAGGGGACGCTCTGACTTTTAGTTTAAATGAGGCCAGAGGATTGGGCACACTCTGGTACATTACGGCTATATGGCCAGAGGACCGGGCACACTCTGGTACTTTATGGCTTAATGGCCAGAGGATAGGGCACACTCTGGTACTTTATGGCTATATGATCAGAGGATTAGGCACACTCTGGCACTTTATGGCTTTATGGCTGGAGGATTGGGCACACTCTGGTACTTTATGTCTATATGGGTTACAGGACCGGGCCCACTCTGGCACTTTGTGGCTATGTTGCTGGAGGATTTATCACACTCTGGTACTTTATGGCAATATGGCTGGAGGATTGGGCACACTCTGGTACTTTATGGGTATATGGCCAGAGGATTGGGCACACTCTGGTACTTTATGGCTATATGGCTGGAGGATTGGGCACACTCTGGTACTTTATGGGTATATGGCCAGAGGATTGGGCACACTCTGGTACTTTATGGCTATATGGCTGGAGGATTGGGCACACTCTGGCGCTTTATGGTTATATTGGGCACACTCTGGTACTTTATGGGTATATGACCAGAGGATTGGGCACACTCTGGTACTTTATGGGTATATGGCCAGAGGATTGGGCACACTCTGGTACTTTATGGCTATATGGCTGGAGGATTGGGCACACTCTGGCGCTTTATGGTTATATTGCCAGAGGACCGGGCACACCTACATATATGGTACTTTATGGCTATATGGCTGGAGGACTGGGCACACTCTGGGGCTTTATGGTTATATGGCCAGAGGACTGGGCACACTCTGATACTTTATAGCTAGATTGAGAACACTCTGGCACTTTATGGCTATATGGCCAGAGGACCAGGCACACTCTGGTACTTTATGGCTATATGGCTGGAGGATTTGGCACACTCTGCTACATTACGGCTATATGGCTGGAGGATTATGGCTATATGGCCAGAGGACTGGTACTTTATGGTTGTATGGCCGGAGGCTTACTTCTTAGGTAGTGTGGGAATTTTCCAAACATGTAGTTATGAATCAAACAAGAAATAATATAAATGTAGTATTTTATTATTTATCACATTATAATAAAGTATTCGTCACAATGATGAATAATGTACTGTACTTACATTGGAGAACAATGAGACATTACTAATTATGCGGGGCATTTGCATACTGTCACATCATTTATAAATGGTATTAAAATTTGCATTACAATCTGTTTTCTAATTAAGCTTTAATTCTTTAGCCAGACATTACAATGACATTCATATTCACCGTACATGACAGACAGTGGGTATCTTTATATACCTGTCACAGAGAGTAAAGAACATTCCATTAACTTATCTTATCTGGGTAACCTCAGCCTCAACTCGTTGTGTCCCATCAGCTGCAGCTGTAATCATTGTCACATTCGTAAACACCGAATAAACCTGCCCATTCTAAAACAAGATGCTCTCGTTATGTACGTGTATATTTTGGGACTCCATCTTATTCAGCAAATGTATTATGACTCTTTTGTGTTTACTGGCATTTTAGGGAGAATCTTTTGTCCCGGTCTTTCTGCCAGAGACAGTGCAATTCACTTCTTTTTCAAGCGATTTCCTCAAAGTTGCTACTGATGTTCTTTTTCAAAATCTACAAAATACTATTGACAGTTTGGCATTAGCGATCACTTGTTCGTCCAAAACTTCATCTGGCCTCCCTTGGCAAACTGAAATGGCATATGGAAGAAGATGTAAAATTCAAAACACTTGTTGATGCAAATATAATTAATATATTCTATTTTAACTTTAAGCTTTAGCTAAAACTAGTCTGCAAGAACCAATCTTGATAACGAGCGTATTGACTAGTTTGGATTATTTAGCAAAATGTCTCTTTTTTTTTTTTTTTATACCTTATGGATGTTGTTCCACGTATTCTGTTTAGAAATGTATTTTCCCGATTTAATTGTTTTGGAAAGGCTTATAAAATTATCATAATCTGTTAGAAGATCTTTGCAAATTATTTATCTACATATATTTCCATGGACTTTAATGGTGACTTCTGCAGATAAATCATTTGAAAAAATGTTCTAACAGATTATGATAAATGGAAAAGCAAAGCTTATCCAGAAAAATGAAATCAGGCTTAAAGCAACATCACCTCTATTATTTGTGAATACTTAATCATAGCACTGACACAGGCTGCAAATGAAGTAAACGTTTGTCTTGTTCAAGCCAAAATACAACTATTCTGTAATCATATAACATAAGACTACACAGTATATAGTTGAATACTTTTACAACCTGGAAATTCAACTTTATATTTCCTTCACCAATCGAATCCTGTATTTTAACACTCGGATCTGGATTTCAGCCACTCAGACCAGCTGAAATCTGGGTCCGATTCAGGCTCATTTAGCAAAATCCAAACATTTTGAAATACTATGAACAATGTCTGGATTTGCAGTCCAGTGGTAAACGGTGAGGGGCAGGGCTCGAGTCCTGCAGGAACACATGGGAACGGCGTTCCTGCACTTTTTTTACAGCAGGAATGCCGTTCCTGTTGCTCCTGTAGGCACTCAGGGGGCAGCAAAAAATGCCGCCCCGAAATGCCCCCCATGTTCCCCATGTCATGGAGGTATCCAATAGGTGGTTTGATGGCCACCTGATGGACTCCCATGGCGGGCTCCTGTCTCCCTGTCAGACACAGCGAGGGAGCTGTGTTCTCTCTGCTCTGCTCCCTCACGCCCCGTTTGCTAATGCTGGGAGCTGGAATATGACATCATATTCCGGCTCCTGGCATCAGTAGACAGCCCGCGGGAGACAGGCGCCTGCCGCACTGAAGCCCCACTGGACCCCAGGGACAGGTCCACTCCAGCTCTCCAGGTAGGGAGGCTGGGTGGACTTTTTTTAAATTAAAAAAAATTATAATAATTTGTATGTGTGTGTGTGTGTGTCTGTGAGTGTGTGTATGTGTCTGTGAATGTATGTTTGTGTGTGTCTGTTTGTGTGTGTCTGAGTGTGTGAGTGTATGTGTGTGTGTCTGTGAGTGTATGTGTGTGTGTCTCTGAGTGTATGTGTATGTGTGTGTGTCTTTGAGTGTATGTGCGTGTGTCTGTGAGTGTGTGTGTCTGAGTGTGTGTCCTAAGAGTATGTGTGTGTGTCTGTGAGTGAGTGTGTGTGTGTCTGTGAGTGTATCTGTGTGTGTGTGTGTCTGAGTGTGTGCACCTGTCAGTGTGTGTGTGCACGCGTTTATGCATACAAGTGTATTTTATTTTTTTGGGGGGATTGGATCTTGGGTGAGTTTCCACACTTTATTCCCCAGGATTTAAACCCTCGTGAGTTGCGCCTACAAGTAGATGCATGTTACAAATATACATAGATGAAAATTCACTCTTCCTTTTATTTAATGGCCCAAATTTACTTTGGATATTCTGTGATACATTTGTAACCCATGTTGTGTCCCCGCTTTTCAATGAACAATCTAAAATGTAAGTTCAGAAGCTGGGCTTTCTAGCCTTATGTTTCTGCCAGATTATGTGTATAAAACGTTCCACCAATCCATGATGCTTATAGACATCTTCATTCAATCCTATGGTTTACATGAATGTGATTGTGCATTGTATTGAGAAGCATCCACACACAAAGTATACAAGGTGTCAGATATTAAAAAGACACTCCAGGATGTATTCAATACATTTTTAATACATTATACAGTATACTGATAAAAAGAAAAAGAAAAGTTAAAAATACAATAATTAAAAAGCATTTGCTACAAAAATTATAGGTGTCATCATTAAAATAAAATTACAGGCACTTTCACCATTATTCTAACCCTCCCTCTTTCCCTATCCCGTTATAAAATGGTTCAACGTCTAATCTGGGGCCTGCCAGATACTACTTCCCCCATGCACTATGCCAGCCAGAGAGCTGGAGACCCAGCAGTGCAGGGCTGAGCTTATTAACTGTGAGAGAACAGCTGCATGGCTTATCTCTGGAGGGCTAACAAAAGCTGTCACTTACAAGCTCTTGGCTCCCAGGCTGATGTAGGGGAGCAGCAACCAGCGGACCCCAAGAAAGAAATCAAACTAATAAAACTGTTTGTAAATGGGGGTGGGCGCTTGTGCACTACAGCCCTCTGTAGTGGTTATGGTGCTTGGAGTGTTTTTTTAATTATGACACAATCTATTATATCTTTGTGTACCTGCTATCCAGATTTTCTTTTTTTATTCCAGTGTGACAATTATTGTAATTCTTACATTGTAATATTCCATTTATGTTTCTCCTGCTAAAAAACAAATAAAAAAAATAAAAAACAATAAACCAAAAGTTTGACGTAACTGGATGTACTCCAAAAAAATCAGCTGATTCTTATCCAAAAACTTCATACAACGAAGTTGCATTAAACAGTTTGCACCTAAACATAGTCCTTTGCTAGGCAGAAATATAATGTATATTTTGCCAAAAACAACAACTGTGCTGTATCAATCCCCTTGGACTAGGTAATAGGGCTAGCGAAAAAAATGATAGGTTAAAGAATAGAAGATTGTGTTACATGTTGGTTGCATGCAATTTAAAAGAATGCCATGTAAGACCATTGCACTAATTCAGGTAAAATATTCAAGTTTAGAAAGTAAACAAATATGCAGCATTTTGATCATAGTCAGATAAGAAACTGTGCTTATTAAACATTTCATACATATCACATATACATACAGTGCCCTCCACTAATATTGGCATCTTTGGTAAATATGAGCAAAAATGGCTGTTAAAAAATTTGTTTTTTTTATTTAACGTTTTGATCTTTTGTTAAAAAAATACACAAAAATACTCTGCTCTCATGGTCTCCGCTCAACACCCTTTTAGTCAATAATTTCCGCTTCCTCCCTTTGCTAAGATAACAGTTCTTCTCCAATAGTGCCTGATGAGATTGGAGAATACATGGCAAGGGATCTGAGACCATTTCTCCATACAGAATCTATCCAGATCCTTCAAATTCCGAGATTGACACTGGTGGACACTCCTCTACAATTAACTCCACAAGTGTTCTATGAAGTTCAAGTCAGGGACTGGGATGGCTATGGCAGGACCTTGATTTTGGGGTCTGTAAACCATTTTTGTGTTGATATTGATCTATGTTTTGGATCATTGATCTGCTGAAAGATCCAACCCATGGCCCATTTTAAACTTTCTGGCAGAGGCAGTCAGGTGTCAATTTTATATCTGTTGATATTTGATAGAGTTCATGATGCCATGTATCCTAACAAAATGTACAGGTTGGCTGGCAGAAAAACAGCCCCAAAATATTAAAGAGCCACCACCATAAAGAGTATCAATTCAAGCAACAGGTTTAATACATAGAAAGAGTAGTAAATACATAACTCCCTAATGATGGATTTTGGGAGGTTGCTTTTATTACTTAGAAATTGGAATTAAAGCTTTAAAGTTTTACTATAACCCTTTGCTCAACACCCTTGTTTTAGTTTTCAAATTATTGATCTTGTTATATACATTACCACTTACCTTAAATTCCCACTGGGCAAGGTCCTCCCTTCTTCATTTCCATGCCCTGTCTAATGTCACTCGTCATCTGTGGTCCAACCAAATGCTTCACACGTGCGCACACTGGGACGGGGAGGGGAGATAGGAATGCTTTAATGTTTGGGGGGGGGGGGTTACCTGTTAATAACAGTTAATGGAGGAGAGCACAGAGAGGCAGGGAACACTGAAGTTTTCCCTTGCGCTGCGCGCAAAAGAGATGCTCATTACATCAATCGCCAGCACGCTGTTCACGCTGACGACTGATGTAGCTTGATATTAGGCAGCCT